GTCTCATTACTAGTGATGAATGAATAGCTCTCTCTCTCTCTCTCTCTCCTAGTGTTCACACCATTTGAGACACGATTGTAATCATTTGGCAATAAATCAAAACCTATATATCAAACAAAACACAATTTATTTTAGTCCAAAAACATTGAAAATACCGATTGTGTTGTGTTATTGAAATTCTGGCCTCAATTCTGGTACGGATTATACCATAAAATTGATGATAAAATCAATCGTTTGTTTGATTTTTCGCATGAATTCCTTAAATAACAATTAAAAGCTCAAAGAATTTATAAGAAATTTATATTTTCTTTTATAATTAGTGTCAAAATTGACAGAAAAAAATGAAAAATAAATAGCATTTCACTCACTATTTGGCGTCAAAATCACATTTATATTTAATGGCATATAAATAGTGATTAAAAATTATTTAGTCATCATTTTTGAAGCGTTTAATAAAATCAAACCATTTATTAGTTTAAAAGTTGTATTTTAAATGAAACCTAATTTTTATGCACATAATTAACAATAGGCTATAAATAGTAACAAAAACATACAGTAATTTGCAATTAATTACGGTATAAAACAATAGAAATTGTCATTACAAACAAATTTATGAGATCTCAAGACATGTATATCACTGACAATGAAGTGGTGGTTAAGACATCACTTCCACTCGCATTCCTCCGATTCATTAAAGTCTTCAATTGTGGGCGGAATCAAAGAGATGGGTATTTGTCTCGCGTCTAACGCATTGAAAACAGCCTTTAAATCGGCAAAAGTGTCGCACGTATTGATGGCCGACAACCGATGGCCACCACTATCTCCTACATTGTCTTCGGCACCACTGGTGGTCGTATTGAACCGCTTCCGGAGCCATACGTCTAAATGAGTGGTGGCGTCAAAGCCCTGTTCGCCACCAATTGGCCACACATTTGTCTGCGATTGTCTGCCGCTGACAGCGGCGACGGCGGCGGCCATGTCTTCAGCGATGGCCCGGTGTCTGAGCTCTTGGAGCCGATCCCACGTCAGATGCGAATGAATACAATTGTCGCCAAACTTACAGAAGCCGTGTCTGTAGTAATGATTGCAAACACTTTTGTTGAGCTCATCCGCCAACAGATCCCGACTGGTCTTCAGCGCCGAGTGATAGGCTTTGACCGCATTCTTGTGTTCATTACTCTTGAGATGTTTTTTCCGATTTTGTGGTAAGTCTTTGAATCGACGCAAACAGTAATCGCATTGATATTGACGTCCCATTTGTCAGATCGTCACCGAATCGGATCCAACGGGTCATTCAGGTCTTCAGGTGTTAGCAAAATATTAATAATTAACTAATCATTGAATTTATTAAATAATAAATGAATTAATTTTCAGATAATTGTATGAAATGTTTGTTTGTATTCATTGTTCACAACAAAAGTTATGCAATCTTTTCATTCAATACAAACGGCGCTCTCTTTTGGACACTATTTTCAACACTAATTATAACTCAAAATACTTTTAATGAGTTTTTAATTAAAACTTTTAATTAATAATAATATTAATAATTGCAAAATATTTTCATTAATTCAATTAAAACAATATTTTATTATAAAAATTGACAAAAATATATAATAAATGTTAAATAATATGACAAAATCTTTTACATTAGTTTGAGTTCAGTATAAATGATAATTATATAACATTTAACACTTAATTAACAGATATTGTCGTCAATCACTAAAAATAATATAATTAAAACAAATTTCAATTACAGTAATAACAAAATTCTTTAAACACTTTATGAATTATTATTTTTTTCATAAGTAAATCGTCAGTCAATTATGATTTTGATTAATATTCGGATTAAATGATTGATTAAAAATTTAAAAGTTTAAGATCTCATAAAAATTTATATAAAGTTTTTATGAAGTTTTATAAAGTTAACGATTTTAATAAAAATCAATTCAAATACTGTTAGAGTGTGTAATGAATGCCTGAATAATAAGTTGTTTCGCCAAACGGTCGTCAAATTCACGGAATTCTTGTGTTAAACAAATGTCTCTCATATTCTGTGCCATAAAGTGATGGCATTTGGTCTCCAATTCTTCGCACTTCAGTTCCAGTGCTTTGGCGTAGAGTTGGCACACATTAAAGACATCAATGGTGTGTATCATAAACTGATGGGTCAATACATTTGCGAGTACTTCTTCGTCAAAAATGTTGGCCAGAGTTAGCAATTGGTCGACAATATCGGCGCTGATGTCCACATTATTAGTGTATAAGTACTGAATAAATGCCGAAAAAGCTTTATATGAATACTGTTTAACACGAATCTCATTGCCCTCAGCGTTCAGATCTCTCTCGCATTCGTCCCAAAACTTTTTGTTCCGTATTTTAAGTATAAGTTTGTGGCCATAAATGAGTTGATCATTACATCTGAACACAACGTCGGAATCCTCGGGATTATTGAAAGCTTCGCAAAAATTTTGCTCATAAATCGATTCGTCCGCTGAAGAAGTGAGTGATGCGAATGAGCCGACAGACAGAAGCGACGATTGTCTCATTAAATTGTTGTCTAATGAGCTGTTATTTGTAGACACGTCTAGTTTTAAGTCACCGTTTGATTCCTGATTGCCTGATATATCAAATTCCGGTGATGTTTCAAATCGAGGGATTTCATGTGGCGATTGTGTGTATAAATGGGTGAACACAACATCTGAGCATTCATTTGATGGATAGACAATGTGTGTCATCTTATTTGAAATCTTAACAAACAATTCAAACACAGATTTGATGCAATTGTTATCCACTTTTTGCGGTTTAAGTATTGGTTTGCGATCGCATTGACCCCACATATAGTACTCGTCGTCGACCGCAACTCCAATCGACACGTGATTAAAACATTTTGCGTTAATGTCTTTAAATCTGATCCGATCGGACACTTTAGTGGGCAGATACTGATCAGTTGTGGTGCCGTTGCCTATCTGTCCGCATGAGTTCATACCAAACCCATAGACCTCTCCATCGGTGGTCAACAGTAGGGAGTGTTGGGAACCGCAAACAACTTTACGAACAACTGGGATGAGCTCTAAGAGTTTGGGAAGACTAGTGACATACATCTGCCGATTATTGTGGTTGGTCTCCATCTCTCGACCCAACTGTCCGTTACTGTTATTACCCCACGTGAAGACACGGCCCGTGTCTGTCAACGCCATTGAGTGGGTTTGACCGCACGATATGTCCGTAATTTCGTGGCCAAAAATTATGAGTACAGGACTAAACTTATCATCAATAGTGTAGACACCCAACTGGCCAAACATGTTGCGGCCCCAGCCGTACACTCGACCGCATTCAGTCAGTACTAATGTATGTGAAGTAGAGATAGACATACGGGTGACGCGTTTGTCCGCTAATTCACCGCCGATGAGTTGCGGCACTGACTCGTTGTTTGCAAAATCCCGGCCCAGTTGACCGAATTTGTTGGCACCCCATGAATAGCACCGGCCATCGACTGTCAGTCCGATGCAAAACCTGTACCCGAATTGAGTGTCTATCAAACACTTGCCGCTCAGGTATGGGTTAAGTGTGGGTCTATGTATATGATTGCCGTCGGCGCCCAAACCCAGACATCCGCTCTCATTATTGCCACAGCCGTAGACCTGATCTTCATTTGTCACGTATATGACGGATGTGTTGCCGAAGACACACAATATCTTCACATTCGTATATTCCTCTGGCGTCACGTATCTGGATATGACCTCAAGTGTCTGATAGTCTAACAACTGATCCATATTTTGGCACTAAAAACAATACCGTATTTTTTGGTGACGAAAAACAAACGCAAACAAAAATAACAAAATTTGATGCTTTAATGAGATTCTGATTGATTGCAATACAATATGCTTTTGTGTCGAAATGTGCAATTTGGCCCAGGGCATGTTCTCTCTCCCCCATGTTTCACATTGACTAACATTGAAAATATGTCACCCCCTTGCCCTGGATCAACTAGCACATTATGACACACATGGGACTTATTGTAATAAAAAGTTTGTATAAAGTTTTCGATTAAAATTGTTTAATTTTGATTATAATAAAAATTAATAATTTTTAAGATCAAACACTATTAGAGTGTGTATTAAATGACAATATGATTGCTATAATCGTTGAAATAATGTTATAAAAAGTAGTGATATTAGTGTTCTTACAGTGTATATCAATATTGCGAGTATTGATAGTAATATTCACACAGTATTGATAATTAATACAACAAATTCTTTGAATTAAATACACGGTTAAAATTATTTAAACAATTTTATGAATTAATGAATAAACTAAGTAAATCATAAGTAAATCGTCAGTAAATTATAATTTTGATTAATACTCGGATTAAAGTATTGATTAAAATTTAAAAATCACTGGTAGTAAGAAAATTTTTATAAAGAAACAATTTAAATACTGTTAGAGAGTGTAATGAATGCCTGAATAATAAGTTGTTTCCCTAAGCGGTCGTCAAATTCACGGAACTCTTGAGTTAAACAAATTTCTCTCATATTCTGTGCCATAAAGTGATGGCATTTGGTCTCCAATTCTTCGCACTTCAGATCCAAAGCTTTTGCGTAGAGTTGGCACACATTGAAGACATCAATGGTTTGTATCATAAACTGAGAGCACAGACTCGCCAGCGATTCCTCGCCATAAATGTTGGCCAGAGTTAGCAATTGGTCGACAAAATCGGCGCTAATTTCTACACTATTTGTGTATAAATACTGAATAAATGCCAAAAAACTTTTGAATGAATACTGTTTGACACGAATCTCTTGGCAGTCGGCGTCCAGATATTGCTCACATTTGTGCCAAAACTCTTTATTTCTTATCCTAAGTATGGTTTTGTGGCCATAAATCAGTTGATCTTTAAATCTAAACACAATGTCATTGTCTTCGGGATTATTAAACGCTTCGCACAGATTTTGCTGAAAGATTGTGGCGTCCGCTGAAGAAGTGAGTGATATATTGGACTTATTAAGCGATTGTTTGATT